CTGTAGTCGCTCCCCCGTACTGCAGGGTCGTGCGGTTGAATAAAGCTTTCGATGTATTTCTAAGCAGAGCGTGTATTTATACGCGAATACGCGGCTCAGTCGCGCGCCGGGCAGACGCTGCCCAGCTGTGGTTTAAAGTGCACAAAGTATTTTTTAGCAATCAGCCTCTACCGCACGTCGCCGCAAGGTTCTTATACTCTCCAGCGGAAAGTTGATCAACTGAAATTATCTTGTATGGTCATATAAGTTTTTAGCGACCCCAAAAACTTAGAAATACTGGGGTCTACCCCCTGTTTCACAAAATTTGTTTGTGTACCTGCACAAATAATATTCTACTGCTTTCGGACTTATTTTTGGGGTTTAGTATGTTCACAAAAGTTAAGACTTGAGACATTCTGAAGAACTTTTCAAAGAATTTTTGCTGAAAACCTGACCAGAAAAGAGTTCGAAACCATAAAATAAGGTATCCCACCTGAAAAATTTCCCTTAGAGTCAAAATCAAAAAAAAAAAAATGTGTCAAGGCGTGCAGGCAACTTAAAAAACTAATGATGCGGTGCGACTCCCCATACTCGAATAACAATGTAGTCGTTATGTGCTTAGAAAATAAAACAATTTGTTGTGTTTTTCATGCAAATTCACACAGATAAGGACAAGGGATAAGATATAAATATAATGATTAAGATTAAGATCAAAATAAAGGTAATGGTATTAACAAAGGTAGTTGTAATGGTTATGGCATTGGTAATGTGAATAGGAATGGTAGTGGTAATGGCATTGGCAATTCGTGCTCGTGTTCCACTATAACAGCAATCGCAACAAACGCGGGCACGATAGGTCGATGGACGCACATCTTCATAGCCGACCTTCAGACATGGTTGAAACGACCGCACGGGGAAGTCGATTTCTACCTGACGCAATTCCTCACCGGTCATGGTTTCTTCCGAGAGTACCTTCATAGGATGGGCAGGGTAGACTCACGAATAATATTCAAGTTCGTATTAGTATTAGTATTTGCATTCGTTTTCATGCACGTATTCCTTTTCTCAAGCATATTCGTCGTCTTATTCGTATTATTCAGCTATTAATCTTCCTCTTTTCTTCCTTTTTTCGTCTTTGATTTCATATACGCCTTCGTATTCGTCTCGGTCTTCATTTTGGCTTTCGTCTTCATATGGCTCTTCGTATTCGTATTCTTCATATTCGTACTCGTATTCGTGTTCATGTTCGTTTTCGTAGTGATATTATTCGGGATCTACCGCCCCTAATAATAAAGAATATATATGGAAATCTCTCAATTTTATTTATAGTCATAGGAACCTTTTATAGGCCGCTACTAATTAGTCACTAGTCCTGATTCAAAATTAGCCATATGTTAGCTCAAAAGTCATTTCTCGTTCATCTGTAGTAATAAGTAACTAGTAATTTTTCACTGTTTGTCGTCGTTTAGGCGACAAGCCGTATTGACTCAGCTAAGCTTACAACCATGCAGAGGGGGTAAGTAATGGCTGCCATTGGTCACAATGCCTACCCACCAATTTTAATATTGAATGGATATTTTTTTATGTGAATACTTTCAACCTGGTCATTTACATTCACATTAGTCATTTTTACTCATAAGCCCTTTGTCATAACGCATCGTAACCCCATCTCCGCCCCTGGCCCCTCCAAAAATTTTAGCTACGCCACTGTAGTGGCACAATAGAGACATGTAGACCCTTATACGACGCCAAACATCCAATAAAAACCGATTGTGGACCTTTTATGGCAATAGCGACAATTTCTCTGGATATGTAATAAAGTATAAAAAGTAAAGGTTTATTTTGTATGCACTAACTTACATTTTTTCTATACAGAGAAAAAAAGGTGCATCCGATAAGTTAATGCAAAGAGTAGTGGGTCGGTGTATGAAGTTAATATATCTCAGTACATATAATGACAAAACCTAAACTTAGGCAAGTCGATGTTATTATCTGAAGAATTTGGTGTCCCAGAGGCTACAAATAGATTTACATACTTATGTCCATATGTATAGAGTAAAAATAGAAATCTCCCACACTTATCTATATCTGCTTGAAGTTACATGCATAGAGAATACTCAAAGACTGGAGAGCGGCAGTTATTTTAAAATTAATGAATTTGAATGTATGTATGTATTTAGCAGTGTTGATTTTGTAGGTATAACTGTACTTTTTTCGGCCCTTTTCCATTTAAAGGGTACATTGGAAATTAGGTTCAATTTAAAATAATAAAAGTAATTGTAAAATTTATTTCATCTTTAATACGAAATGCAACGTTTAGCAAAGCAATATTGGAGACCATTTTGGGGGAAAAATTGGTAATGGTGCAAATTTCCCAAAATGTTTCCATATTTATAAAAACCCGTCACAAGCCATATTTTAGCCCAAAATATAAACTGAAAATTTTTTAATTAGCTAGTTAATCTGTAGGGCAACAGAACAAGGATCCCTGCAACCTAAAAATATCTTTCGTATCACCGAAAGCCTCAAACAAGTTCAGCGTTTAAAATGAAAGCTTGAAGGATCTTAGAAGATTACAGATCAAAATAAAACTAGTTTGATCGCACAATTATATAGTACCTATATATGTGCTCTAAAGTCTTATCGTTCTTAAAGGAGATATCACTCGATTTGTAGATGTGCACAGAGTGTTGTTGTCTTAAAATTTTTGTCAAGAATGAGTTCAGCTCAATAAAAAATTTCCAAACAACCCCACTCTGTAACTTTCAAAATGTACAAATCGTGTGATCCCTGCAAAAACTGTGACTAATCTAGAATGACTCCCAGGGGCTATCGCAAAGGACCGATTACGATTAATACCACTTTTGATCTCTTTATGTGGAGTGAACTATTAGCTATTGTTCAAGCATTCGTCGTACAATTTTTTTACAGGGATGTGAACGGCTGGATAACACTGGTTTACAGAAAAAATTTTCTATAGATGCCGCTATCCAATTCCTATGTAGAATTCCTCGATGATTCCGAAAATCCAAATAACTTTTTTTCTGTGGATAACTTTTCGAGATATTTGCAATTTACCGTTATTCAGCTTAAAAGAGAGTGCTTTCACTAAATCACGTATATCTTAGGAGCCAATTGAATAATCGTAACGAGAAACGGAAAATAAAATCTAATAAAATTCTCCATAAAGGTATGCGAATTGGAAAAGGTGCTAAAAAGGAGTAAATCAAATGCATATATTTAGCCCCCTTTTTGAGTACGTTAAAATGATTCCCTGTATAAGACTGCAAAAGAGTTAGGTTATGTTGTTGATATCACCTTATTTTTTATTGCACCATAAGTATAAGCATGATAAAAACATAGTAAGGTAAAACCGTTCTCTCAATTCGTCGGCCATGATTTATTTTTTTTTTTAAGTTTGCCAACATTATATAAAATTGAGAGTAAAAAAAAGGAATTGTTCAAAGTTGTTGTTGTTTGAGATTGAAAATGAGAATGTGTGTGTAAGTTTGTGTGTAAAATTTTAAAATTAAATTGCTTGCAAACGTCAAGAATTTGAAAAATTCCCCTCAGCGGTTCTACCTTTCTATTTTTTTATCATGAGTATAAGTGCGCCTATCAAACTCAGCTGCTCGTTGCAATTGAAATTCCCGCACACATGCTGTCATCAAGGTAAAGAAAACCGCTAGTTCATGCATTTCATTCTGGAGTTGCGACTTGAAATTAAAAGACCACATTTTTTCAACTCTGGACTTTTTCTACAAACATCTGTCGCATGCTTCTTTTACCGTCAAACCATAACAAATGCAATTCTCTCCAGGTCTCTGTTGTTTGAACAAAAATATAGATCAGTTACCGAGGGCAAGTCAAACTTTTGGACTTTGTGTAGTAAGAGTATACGTTGAGGTCAGACGGGAGTTGATGCGATGAATCACTTTTAGGCCAACACGGCCCGAGTGCCTTTACTAAATTAAATGTCTTATTTAGATGAAAGGTCCAACTGAGCGTCCCAACAGGAGTGATTTCTAAATAAATATTTCACAGAGAAATTGTAATATCTAAACATTCTTCCCGCAATTCTGGTCGAAATAAAATTTGATTTATGTGCATTTACTTCTGCACTGGACAAGTACAGTTTTACGGGTACTAATACATAATGAATCCTTAATTGGCACACCAGTTTGGGACAAAGCAATTGAGAAAATACACATTCCTGAATGGCATTAATGTTCACGAAAGTATTGTAAATATAATACCAAAGCAGTATCGCATTAAGGAAGCATAGCGATGATCCAACCAGCAATAGAGGGCTACATGCGTATTTGGAACAATGCCCGACAGTACTAATGAAAGCTCCCTCGATGTCAAAGAAGTCACACAGATTCTCGGATCTTAATTGCTAGATACCGATTTTTCTTAATAACTGTATTTAATATGAAATATTACGTATGCACGTGAAAACATTTGAATATTTTTTTATTGTTTTTTTTTTTTTTGTTTAATTGTTATGCATAGAATTAAAACAAATTCTTTAAAAAAAAAAGCAATCCTTCATTAGGTACATTACAACTATTTTAGCTACTTATTCTGGCAATATCAGGTACGCTTCTTTCTTTACCAAAATCAACACTGACATATACATACATATACTTACATATACATATATGTGGAGTCCGCGTTAGCGTTATTATACTGATAGCCTCAATTCTTATCAAAAATTTGAGCAAGCAAATCATAGCAAATGCGATCTTAGAAGATCAGTTGCGGCTTAGCGGTTGAGAGAGCAAGGATGAGTGAGTGCAACAAATCGCCATTCATACGAACTCAGAAAAACTTAAACTTTGTTTGATTACTTTTATTTTGTTTTTGTTTTTTTTTTTTTTTTGCTTATAAATATTTGCCCTCGGTTCTCAAATCTTTAGTCTATAGAATTGCCAACACGTTTTTCATATCGGCAGTATAGTCTTCATCAATTTCTTATCTCTTATGTAGTTCAAAGACTTATACCTATTATGAATCTGCGATTAATCACCTTATCGTACAATATTCTTAAATATAAATATGTAAATCTCAGACAGTATATTAGTACGTCTACGGAACAGTCACTGGAACAAAGGCTAACCCTACGGTAATCGAATAATGTGAATTAATTTTACTTAATTTTCATTCCATTATCGCTTTTTGTTAAACGCTGTCTAGTTTAAAGTGAACACGCTTGAGCATTAATTTCCAGCAGCAGCCCAGTTGAAAATATTTTTTATTTCATTCAAATTTGTAAGAAGGATATTCAAAAGAAAGTTTTTTTCCAAGTAGTATCCTTATAGGTAAGAAAATATTTTACTTGATTAAAGTGTAGGTATGTATGTATATGAGGAAAAATTGGGATTTTTATTTATTGATTTTATTTAAATTTAAAAGTTTTTCCGTACTTTTTTTAAGGAAAAGCCTGGTTAAGGAATTGTCTTTCATAAGAAATACAACATTAAAAAACAATGTTTGCATATTTCTTTTAAATAGTAGCATAACGTAGTTAAGAACATTTTTTAGCGGTATGATACATGTGTGTATATGAGAAAAAATTAGATTTTTTATAAAAGCAAATTACAAATATTTTTCAGTATGTTTTCTACTTCAAAAATAATCTTTGCATATTTGCATATTTCAAGCAGTACACTACTTACATATGTAGTTAAGAATATTTTTACTTGATTAAAATTTATAAGTGGAAAGATAAGGATTTTTTACAAAAAGAAATGCAAACATGTTCTTGATGTGTTTACTTGTTTTGATTTATAAAAAAAAAAAAGTTTAGTATTTTTTGATATTTTTTAGTTTTGTTATTTCCTCTTTTTTGAAATATTAGTTTGACTATTTATGCTTGGTAAATCATATTTAATTTCTTATAGCATAGTTTCAACTTTTTACAGAAAGTTGCAGCTTGGAACTAAAGACTTAAATTAAAACTGTAATACGCAGTCAACTCGTTTTCATCGCCTTTATAGTAGCCTACAGCGTTAACTCTACCGCGTACGCAGCCGCAAAGTGTCTAAGTGCCTTATTTGAGCTGTCGAGTGTTTAATACAAAACAAAAACGTTGCGGCTATAAATACCATTGAGCAAACAATAGTGAGATAGCGGAAAAATATTTAGTGAAAACTGAAATCAAGGCTAAGAATTTTGTATGTTTCAACCGCGCTCAAAACGGACTTTATCGAAAATACAAAACCCAACACATCCAACATAATATTTTATTAACTCAAAGGCATCCCATGAAATGGCGAAGGACGTGCAATCATCTGCAGCCACACAAAATAAATCCGATATTAAATTTTCCGCACTTTCGACAAGTGACGTTCCCGCAGTCAACGATCCACTCTTCAAACACTGTGTGATCCCAGTGGACGAAGGAAATGATATCCAGAAACCTTTAACCCTTACTTTGTACGATTCGTGCGATTCCATCAATTTAAGTAACACAGATAAAAAGAAGCCAAAGATACCAGATGGTGGCTACGGATGGGTCATAGTCATGGCTTCCCTCATCATCGCACTCATCGCCGACGGTTTGGGCTTCTCTTTCGGCCTTATCAATTCCGAATTGCTTGCTTACTTTGGAGAGTCAACCTCGAAGACAGCCTGGATTAGTTCGTTGTTCTTTTCGGTGCCACTGCTAATGGGACCAATTTGGTCAAATATGGTTGATAGATTTGGCTGTCGAAAAATGACCATATTTGGTGGCTTACTAGCATCTTTCGGGTTTGCGCTATCTTCGCTTGGCAATTCAGTTGGAGTGTTGATGCTGACCTTCGGTATTATTTCTGGATTAGGTGTGGGTATTGGCTATGTCACGGGAATAGTATCCATCACCTTCTGGTTCGATAAGAAACGCACCTTTGCTACGGGTATTGCTGCATCCGGCACTGGCATCGGTACCCTCCTATATGCGCCCCTAACTCAGTCGTTAATCGAAGGCTATGGCTGGCGCGGTGCTACGCTTATACTCGCGGCCACAATGTTGCTCACTTGCGTAAGCGGCGCACTGATGCGCGATCCCGATTGGCTAATAGAGGAAAATCGTCTGCAAAGTCGTTCACAAAGTGCGACAAGCTCAAGCGCGTGTCTCGATGAAATCAAAAAACTACTTGATACTGGTGTGACAAAGGAAGCTGTACTTGATACGCTGGTGACTAAAAACAACACCGAAGCTAACCAGCGAATAAAAGATTCGCATGAGCGCATCATAAAACGCTTTGGTAGCGAGATATTTTTGCCAACTTTTTTGTGTTCTCAGGATTTGGTGGCTAGCATGTATGGGGTGAAGAGTATGAGCTGGCGCTCTCTACGACATAAGGATGCGCCATCACGCGAAAATTTGATATCGATGGCTTCGGCAGCTGTCAAGCCTACAGTGTCTGTTATTGCTTTGCACGACGACGAGTCGAGCACACCATTCGAAAGACTACAACCAGCTGATTTGCGAAAAAGTGCGACTTCTCTCATATCACTTAGAAACGACGTGTCCTTAGTTCTAGATGGCAGCACAAGAAAAGTAAGTCAGATTCCAGCATCTGTTTTGAAGTCGGAAAATGATGTAGCGGATAGGCCACCGACAAAGCGAGCACGTGCGGATAGCGTTATCGGTATGCGACGATTTTCGAAGAAACCCTCCTCACCACGAAACACATTAGTACGTAACTCTGATTTTCTTAAGAAGTTAAGAGTACACCGCAATCCAATACATTTATATGCTGCCATGTTGAACTCACAACGACATCGAACACGTGCCACATCGTGTCCGAATATCTGCAGAAATCTTGTGACAGCGCCTGTACAGAAGGAAGAAGAACAGGTAAGTTGTAAACTTGATTTAAGAAATTATTTTTATTCATAAAAAACTCCATTTTTGGAGGTATTTTCAAATCGGTCCAGCTCGCTTAAATCTTAATATTTTTCCGAAATATTTTGGTGGACGTCTTGGAATATAATAGATTTTACAATTCCAATGGAAAAACAAGTCCGATTTTTCTTTTATTTTTGTATGGGGAATGATGCAGTCTAATGTACATACATACCTACCTTGCGGGAAGTGACAAAAAATTGCCAATAGGAAAAAGAAGAAAAGGTTTGCAAAACTTTCAGGCTATATTTGAAGCAGCTTTTAGTGTCTACATACATATAGCTTATTTTATCGCCAATCAGGCTTATAGCGCAGCAACCGCCAGATGCTCTCCTTAAATTAGGGAGAGCTGATCTAAGTGTCTAGTTAAATTTACATTATAAGTCGGCGTTATTATTTTTAGATCATTCAAAATTTAATTTCTTTTTATATAAATTTTCTTACATGCTAAGTGGGCTGGATTAATTTGCGTTAAATGAATAGCAGTGATAGTTCCTTATCGGTCACTTAAAATTCCAAGTGTGCATTAAATGTGTCGTTATAAAAATCGTATGTAATATGTAGGCACGTAAGCGATTGCTTTTTATTTGTATGCTTGAAAGTACCCTCTAAGGAAATCGGCTGGCCAAGAGATTCGCTATACTGAAATATTAAAAGGCCATTCGCCCAGGACCCAATAAGCCCTGTAAGCACCATTTTTATAAGCTTTATCTGGATATTATATGCAGTTAATGAGTGAGATATTAAAAGGCTCATTTAGCCTTGTAAACATCTGATCCAAGGAATGTGCACTTAGCGTCAATGCCATCAAGACCGAAATGGTACTCTTCACGAGAAAGTATGAGATTTCTCTATTGAAATTTGCCATCTTAAACGATGTAGAGCTAATTCTCTCAAGCTAGGTCAAATATCTTGGAATTACTCTAGACATGAAACTTGGCTGGAAGCGAAATATCGAAGACCGCACCAGGAAATACAGTAACACCTTGTATGCCTGTAAGACGTCTCTTGGAAAAAAAAGACGAACAAAATTACTGTACACAACGATAGTAAGACCCATTCTCTCCTACGGAGTCACCGTATGGTGTTCTATAAATCGAAAAATTTTCACTGACACTTTGTAAAGGTTTTCAAATCTTTCTATTTAATTTTTTATGAATACATACGTCCCTTTGTATAAAATCGATTCTTAATTAAATAAATTCTTAAGTTATTATAATTTATTTTTTCGTTTCAGACTTGGTACGTACGTTTCGTTGGCACCATGAAGACGACGTTCGATTTATCACATTTTGCGGATATGAAATTTACATTATTCAATATATCAATATTGTTTTTGTTCATTTGGTAAGTAAAATCTTTTGTTAATGCAAATACTTATAAGCATTTCCACACAATGGTCAACCAGGACCGAGAACTAAAATGAGCAATCTGTTGTATGGGGTGGTATAAGTTATAGTGGTCCGATTTTGACGGTTCCGACAAATGATCATTACATTGGGTCTAATCATTGAACTCGTGTCGATCGAAAAATTTTAAATTTTTGTACAAAAAATTATAGGAAAATTTCATGATTTTCGATCGACACGAGTTCAATGATTAGACCCATTATAAAAGTACACTCGCTTACCAAATTTCCAGCTCGACGTTCTGATCATTTTGGCAAACATTTATTTGGGTCAATATTTTCTTCTTCTGATACTTAAAAACATCGGACCAAATTTATAATAATATTTCATGTTCATGAAAGGTATAAAAAATTATGGAAAAATCGTACGCCCGTGACCGGTACTTAAGCTTATAAATAAAAAAAAACTAATATAGATATTTCAACGCACAATTTACTTTATTCCACTTTAATATAAAGTTAATCGTTTTAGAATATTCTGTTCCATTTCGCACTTTCTTACATTTCTCAATTTGCAGCCAAAAGCGGCTTCGATTATTTGTACATTCGCGACCGCATGTTTATTGCTATCATTTTTATTTTTTTATTTGCTTCCATAAAATATTACACCTGTCATGAGACAATAAGTAATTTCATTTACAAAGTAGGGAAGGTAGTAATATAGAAGGGCCAGTGCCCTCAAGCTCAGTTGTAGAAATACTACATAGGTATACAGTACATTTTAAATATTTACATACAGTGGCAACTATTATACAATTTTGTTACGTATAATTTACAAGGTCAAGGTCTGATGGTGCTTTGCGTTCAAGCCTACTTTGGCTAGATTTTTCTTTGTCTGGGAGCCGTCTCATTGTAGGATTTGTGTGCGTCAGTAGTCCGCTTATTTGTCTTTTGCTTGCTTTTTGTATTGCCTCGTCAATCGAATCGATTTCTAAGTCGCGGTGAATATCTGCGTTAGGTATATATATACCATGGTGCATTAGTTATAGTCCCCAAACTTCAATTCCATACCTCCAGATCGGCGCAATTGTCATCTTATAAATCAGGACTATATTTTTCAGTGACAACTTGGACTAGGGTCCAAGCAGCCAGTACATTTGTCTAAATCGATTTTTAATTTCATTTCGTTTTTTCATTATGTGGTCCTTCCAGTTTAATTTTGAGTCAATTATTATGCCTAGGTATTTAGAGTTCAGAGTATTTAAAGCCTGCCTTCTGCGCCACGTAACTGACATTTTTTGCCAAAAATTGGATTTGCTCACATTGGATTTGAGCTATTGGCTCAAGCTTTATCCATTCGTTCTGAAATATACTAGCCACAAATGCGATTGCTTTATAAAAAAGTGAACCATTTTGAAATAAGCGTTTTTTTACTCTAGAAAATAATACGCAGTTTTTGATTTTGTTGATACGCGGTTTTGTAGTTTATACGACGATATGTTAATTGTTTATCGGAGGGCGGTCTGTTCAAGCCGACTTCAGGTTTTTTTTTGCATACATTAGAAACTTTGAAATCAAAATTTGTGAAACGCTAATCACAGCGCAAAATTTTTTGCAAAATCTTATGAGAAATTTAAAAGTAAATTTGAACCAAAATATGAAAGGGTTTATTTGGAAAAAACATTCTTTAGTATTTGATTTTTAAATCGCAAGATTGCATTGAAAATAAGAAGACGAAAAAGTAACAGCTTAATGCGCGCGTGGTTTTTATTATAAAATAAAAAGAACAATTACGATGAAGTCTCCTTTAATAGTCTATATTTTATATATTTTTAATAAAAATAGTGCGAGCTACGTAAGTAACAAAAAATACTAAGCACTGATAATGATTTTTGATTTGAAATATTAGTTGTGTTTTCGTATTCTTCAGCCAAAAACATCCAGTAACTTGCCAGTAACCAAATTTCGGAGAGTAAGCTAATATTCACTCCCAATGAGAGAAATATGCAAGAAAGTACGAAAACGCAAAGCTAGCAAGAAGTTGCAAGTTTTATGAACAGCTGATTAATTTGTTATTTTTCGACGCAATTTTCTAAGAAAAATAGTATTTCCCATCTTATTATATATTTAAATAAGTTTATTTTGTCAATTACAACTCTAAAAGCATCACCAACAATTCTTTTGGTAATGTGAATTGCATTAAGC